TTTCATGTACCTTGTGTGAGGAGGCCAGCATTAAAAGAGACCCATGGAAATGGACTGCAAGGGAAGCAAGAGAACCACGTAGTGAGGCCACTGGGAGGAACCGAAACCCAGACAGGAAAGTGATTTGTAAAACTGGGTCTGCACTGTGTGTGTCTATGTGTGGCTATTTTTAATCTCTTTCTTTTCTTCATGATTCATTCGTTTCTTTTTCCCTCCTGTCCATGCTCATTCCCCATCTTTGGTAATGTTAAAAAGAAACCATGGTAAAGTATGTGTCACCCAGTTTGCCACCGCAGTCACTTTTAAGCATGTATTTCAGCACTGTGGAGTTCATTCATTTTCATTGTGCAATCGTCACCCCATCCTGCCTCAGCTCGCTTGATCTTGCAAAACCAAAGCCCTGTCCCCATTCAACATTGACTTCCCGTCACTGGTAGCCCATGTTCTACATCTGTCTCTATGAATCTGGCTGCTCGGGGGGGTTGGGGACCTGGGTGTCTTCCTCTTTGTTCTGGGTTTGTCCTCACAAAGAGCAGAAGCATTTGATGCCCAGGCGAGGGCAGGTGTGATGTAAGAGCAAGAGAAAACGTAGGCACATGTGAGTGTGAGCTGCCCCACACGGAGATGCACCTGCCACAAAAGGCTGGTGAGCCCTGCTCGGGAAGGAGGCCTGAGAAAGGGCTCCTCCCAAGTTATCAGCCTCTTTCATGACTCAGAGGGTGAAGCCTGGGTGGAGTGGGGTGTTCGTATGCCTTGTGTAAGGCTTTTTGGGTTTTCATGGCTGTCCACATGGAGTTTAATTTCCATGTGACCATTATGGCATCTCCTCATCCCTGGTCCATGATGAGACAGAGGCGCATCATGGGAAGGCGAGTGTATTGGATTGACTGATAAGGGGTTGAGGTAACTAGGCAAGGCTGGCAGAAATTCCAGCTCATGTACTGCCATCTACCTCCCCACTTGCTTGCCTGCATCCCAGGGACCACAATCTGCCTTTTTATGACTGACTTATTTCTCACAGTGCCCTGTCTTCAAGGTCCATTCATGTTACATGTGTTAGAATTTCCTTCCTTTTGTAAATAAAAACATTTTAAAATATTTTAAAAAAATAAATAAATTTAAAAGAAGAATTTCTTTCTTTTTGTAAGATGGATTAGTATGCCACTAAAGGGATTATTAATGAAATACCACATTTTGTTGATACCTTCATTCCTCTCACTTCTACCCACTCCAATTGTTCCTCCTTCTCTGTCCACAGGCAGATAGAGTGTGCCCCACTGTCACTCGTGTATTTCTGAGGCAGTCATTGGAAAGCAAGAGACTAAGGTGGTGATTGTCTGGCTCTGGCCACCGCTGTCACTTCTTCCTGCCTATCTCTGACTTCTTCCCTGAGGCTGTGGTTTCCATCACTCCTGTCCCCCACATTTTTTTAGGCACCCTAGTCAGGCTGTGCCCTTCTCTTAAATATAGATATGGTCCTTGTATTTCCCCCTGGGTGTCCTGGGGCCCAACCTCAAATGGGTGCCCTGGACAGGCAGGTGGCAGATGGATGCACCTGCAGGACTGATGAGGTTTTGGCCACTGGTGCCAGTGGACCCAGCAGGGATTGGATGGCAGTCCTTCCTTTGTGCTCTAGGGCCACTTGCTGCTGCCTCTGCCCCAGCTGAGTGCCATTGGAGTAGGCCTCTCCTGAGGTCTCCAAGGGTGTGGAGACAACCTGCTGTCCTTTTCTTCTCCTTACAGGAATGGTGGTTTTGGTTTGTGCCAGCTGCCCCTCTTCTGTTTCAGGAATAGGAGGGACGGGTCAGACATGGTGTGGCGCCCGTCCACAGCAGGCATTCAGGAGCATGGAGAGACCCTGCTAGTAATGTTACATATGGGAAGAGTGGGTGCAAACAGGCATTATGACTGCAAGCCATGCAAGATGTTTCCTAAGGGCTCTTTGGGGATTATTCCAGAAGCTGGCCACCACACCCCCACGGTTAGAGAACCACCTCAAGATCCCAGGGCTGGAATTAATATCAGTGGCCTGAGAGTGGCAGACTGTGAACCCTACTGCTTCCTGCTTTGCCCACTTCTGCACCTCCCACCCTCTCTAGGAGCCCCTGCCACCTCCTGGAGCCAGAGATGGACCCATGACTGCCCACACTGGATGAGTGCTTAGCTGGGAAGGGGCCAGGCAGAGCGATGATCAGAATCATCTGGGACATTCAAAATGGAAACAGTTTGAAGCAGCAGGTTTGGGCAGTACCCATTGATGAGTATTTTCTAATTGTTTCCTGGGTGGCTCTGATAATGCGCCCTGCTCTGATCCTCTGCTTCGTGTTCCAGCCAGGGACACTGGGGACCCACCAAGGAGACGAGAGGCCATGCCTGATGAGGCCACTCGGTTGGAGCTAGCATCGAGCTCAGGGTGCAGCAGCTAGTTCCTGGTTCTGTGTGCTTCCTCACATCCTCCTCCACCCCCTCACTCTCCTCTCCACTTTCCTGGGGCTCTTGAACTAGAGGTAAACCTTGTAGGGCCCTGCCCAGGGGAGAAAACAAAGGAGCCCTTGAAACAGAGTCCCATGTCTCCCCCCAAAAAGGGCTGCAGCGGGCATTTCTTCCCTGGAAGGGCACTGGCAAGGGCCAGCCCTGTCCACAGGCTACCTCAGCTCCGCCCGTTGCTGGGCAGCTCACACCCAGGCTTGAGAAGCAGTGAAGTTTGTATCATAGGAAAGGTCTAGGTGACAGGTGACAGCCGGGACAGGTGGGTCTGAGCAGTGCTGTCCCACATTGGTGGAAGAGGGAGAGTTAAGACACAGTACTCCACCCTTTACCCCAGCTAGTATCAGAAGTCACGTTTGTTTGTTCATTCATTCATTCCACAAATATTTGTCAGGCCTCTAGGATTAGTGTGTATTTCTTAGCATTGGAGACTTGCCATGAGGAAGACAGACGGGGCACTTGCGTTTGTGGGGCTCGGACTGTGGTGGGTCAGCGCGCCTGGAGCTATGCTGTTGAGCCTCAGCGACTCCCCTCCACAGAGCCACCAGATGCATCCTTGCCTGTGGCCCACGGTGGGGATGAGAAGCACATGTCATCCTGTGCCCTTTTTCTCAAACGCAACAAAATTAACCAGTGTGCTCAGGGTCACACCAAGCGTGATGGGCCAACTCTCTTTGATGCCAAAGCCTGGGTGTTCTTCACCACCATATGGTCCTGAGTTATGGTGAGTTATGGCCCGCTTTTTTTTTTTTTTTTTTAATCAGGGGCAATTAGAAGAAAAAGGCAAGCGCAGTGTGAAACATTTTTTGCTCTAGAACTTGAACAATTTCAAGCACTACTAGAGAACCTCTATAGCTTCCCAAGGAAGTGTGGCCTACTCCTTCCCAGAGAGAGAGCGCCTTGCTGTTGGGTCCCCGTCCATTGGCCCAGCTGACAGCCACTCAGGCACCATGTGTCCCAACTCAGCTACCCTGTGGTTGGTGCCTTCACTTGCTTCTCTTGTCCTTGGTCTTGTTTGCTCATGTCGTGTCCTCTGATGAAATGCCTGATACAGGAGTAAATCAGTGGATGAAAGTTTTCTTATCTCACTCTGTCACTCTTCTTTTCTAATGAACAAATCTTTTTGTAAACATCCTTTCACAGAAACATCTAGGCTGATGTGTTTGATCAGTTCTCTGACACCTGAAGTTAACCGCCGTACCTTCACATCTATGCAAGTGACTGTCCCCCTTGGGTGCTGGGATAGGGATAAAAAAAGAGGAAAGCCAGCTCCTGCCTCGGATAAGACTTTTCAGGGAAGAAATGAAGGGACAGGAGTCCTTAGGTGTGAATGCTGACTTGTGACAATGTGTCTTTGGTGTGTAGCTGCTGAGGGCTGGAGTTTTTGGGCAGATTTCAGGTAAGGACTTAACAGGAGTGTTTACAACGTGGCATATTTTCTAAAACGAGGGCAAAGGTGACTGCAGTGACAGTCCAGCCAGCTGTCTCCCTGTAGGTCCTGCATCTGTGGATTTAACCAGCCATGCCTTGAAAGTCTTTTTTAAAAAATGACATCTGTACTGAACATATAAATTTGTGTTTCTTATTAGTATTCTCTACACAGTACAGTGTAACAGTTCTCTATGTAGCATTATACTGTGTCAGGTGTGGTCATCTAGGCTGCATTTAAAGTACCAGGAGGGGGCTGGTGTCGTGCACAGTAGATAAAGCCGCTGCTGGGGACACACATCTCTCATGTTGGAAAGCATGGGATCAAGTCCCGTGTCTGCTTCTGACCTACCTTCCTGCTAATGTGTCTGGGAGGCAGCACATCATGGTCCAAGTGTCCCCCTTCCTATCTCCGTTATGGCAGACCCAGACTGAGGTCCTGGCTCCTGTATTCAGCCCAGCCCAGGCTGTTGCTGTCATTTGAGGAGTGAACCTGTGGATGGAACGCTTTCTTCTCTCTCTCTCTCTCTCTCTCTCTCTCTCTCACTGTATGTCTCTCCATCTGTTGCTCTTCTTTTTCAATAAGTAAATGGACAGCACAATGTAAGTTATATGCAAATAACATGTATATAAGTTACATGCAAATACTGCATCGTTTTATGCAAAGGACTGGGGCGCCCACAGGTCTTGATGTTGTCGATGTCCTGGCACCAGCCCTTGAGTACTGAGCGAGGACTCTGTTGCTGTGTGTCTAGCCCTCTGTGTGCGGAGTTTCCCTGTGCTTCGCTTTGTTGCTGCTTGTTGACCCAGTCCCAAGTGTCCCCTTAATCTGAGAGGTGCAGGGATTCATGAGAAGCTGTAGAACAAAGCATAATAGGGAGTTCCTGCTGCACATTCTGCTCCTTGTTCCCCCAATCCCCTTTAGGGGACATAATAGGATCTACAAAAATGTGTGTACTGTGGAAGGGGGTGCCAGGGAGGCCTCTGTAAGAGGACAAGGGTGGGTGAGTGCTCACTCTGTTTTCTCTCTCTCCCTGGGTCCTCACTAACCCACTGTTTGGTCTCCTCTTTCCACTCTCCCGCAGACGCGAATGCAGAGTTTGAATCCGGATCCCAAAGCGCAGTACACGAGTATCTACGGAGCCCTCAGGAAAATCATGCGGACTGAAGGCTTCTGGAGGCCCTTGCGGGGCCTCAACGTGATGGTGATGGGTGCGGGGCCGGCCCACGCCATGTATTTTGCCTGCTATGAAAACATGAAAAGGACTTTAAATGACGTTTTCAACCACCAAGGAAACAGCCACCTAGCCAACGGTATTTTGAAAGCGTTTGTCTGGAGTTAGAAAGTTCTCTTCTTCAACACATCCTTCCCCGCGCTGTTCCTCCCCGTGGCCCCAGCAGCCTTGCGCCTCGACTTCGGCACGCTTGCTCATGAATAAGGAACTCTAGAGCCGTGTGTGCGCCCGCACACGTGCACACACACACACACGCACACACACACTTTTGTTGTTGTTGTTCTTGTGCCCATCCTTCACTCTCTGAAGTTGGAGGCACAGCAGTGACAGAGGTGTTTCTGTGTTTTGGTCATTGTTGTTGTGGTGGTGTGGGTTTTTTTTTTTTTTTTTTTAATGCGCACCAAGGCAATTAATGCTGAGACCTCTGAAAAACACACAAAACAAATAGAAACACAGCTTTTGAATACTGGATTCAAAAAACAAAAAACAGACAGTGATCGGGACAGCTTCTTTGAGACTATTTAAAAACTGGCACAACAGGTCTCTACAACGCCAAGATCTAACTAAACTTTAAAAGGTCAAGAAGTTTTATGGCTGACAAAGGACTTGCGCCAGTGCAGAAGGCCTTGCCCGCTTTAAGATCTGGGAATCTTGCCCCCATTCTCTTCCGTGTGTCTCAGTCTCGTCTCTCACCTCTCTGCAAGCAAGGGCTGAAGTCGTTTTGTTGTTTGGAGGGAGAGAAGTGGGTGGGGGGTTGTGGAGGGCGACAGCTCTTACATAAGGCGTGTTTCACCAGGCCAGGCCGGGTGCTTGTGGTTCCTGGGGGTGGGGTGGCCTTGGCATCCAGTGGCTTTTTAGTTATTTGGGTGGGTATGGAATTGGGACTATAGATAACAGCACAAAATGTCCTCCTTTTGAGAAAACTCGTTTAACAACAGAGGGACACCCGTGACCAAGCCATCATGGTGTTCCTTCTTTTTTTTTTGTTCTGCTCAGAACTTATGTCACTCCTGTTGTCACCAACCTTGGCCATTTGGAAATTTGTAGCATGTACAAAGATGTTCACTAAGTGAGCCACGCCATGCTCTGCGGTGCCCTGAGTCTGTGACACTGGGGTTCTGCTTTAGCCAAAACTGCCTTATGTAATAGTGAGGCACCTCTGATGGGGGGCTGGCAGGAGCCAGTTGGTGCCAAGTCTTGCCCTGGGCTGTTGCTGCAGCTTCGTGGTGGAGGCTGTGGTTGTGTTTTTGCCTTTCTGGGAATAATGACAAGTGTGGTGGGGTGGGATTGGGGTAGAGGGTGCTGGAGTGAGGGGTGGGGGTGGAGAGGGACTGTTGCCTGCTTTTTCTGCAGTTCTCCTGGCAACCCATCCATCTTCCAGTGGACATTTTAATTACCAGGCAGTGTCACCAGAAAGGGCGGAAATGCAAAGCCAAAAGCAAAAATCCCAGGCCTGACTGAGGCTTTTGGAGTCCTTGGTTCTTGAAGCTAGGCCAGACAAGGTCCACAAGAAAACGGGCCATCACCTGTGTGGGCCCTCACAGCTATGGCAAATGTACCCTGGAAATCAGTAGTTCTTGACTTCTCTTGGCTATTTTCCTAAAAAGTGCCTGGATTTTAACTACAGAATGTTCTTGGAGATACCTCTTCTGTTCTCCCCCCCACCACCCCCCAAGGCTCTACAGGATATTAACCCGTTTGATCTCCTCTGCTTAAGGGCAGAGTGAGTTAATCTGTAGACAAAGGTGAGGGTAAACGCAATGAAGATCTAGACAGCGGATAAAGCCATCAGGTGTGCTTTCTGGATAGCCTCCGGCTTTAGCAGCTCTGGTCTGTGCCCAAGGTTGACTACTAGAAACCCAAAGCGGTTTCTACGGAATGAAAGCCCTGTATGTCAACCTTCCCCCAGTCACTTGAGGTTCCAAGCAGCAGTGATCCTCGAGGTGTAGCTGGCAGTGAAATGTGCAGTTTATAAGCCGAGTCCACAGCTCCTCCTGCTTTTAGCTTCCAGGGTCTTCCTCAGAACACCCAGTGCCAGAGGGTAATTTTCTGGAGTTTGTTTTGCAGGGATAGCTGGGAGTATGGCCACCCTGCTCCACGATGCTGTAATGAATCCAGCAGAAGGTAATGTCCCATGGTCCCAGGGAGGGGCCAGGAGGGGATGTGTAGAGGGACAAGAGGAAAGGAGTGTGGACGGGAGGGCCGAGGTGGGCGAGGGACTCCTGGTTCCCAGGCAGAGCCAACAGGAGGCTTGAATTCTGTGTGACATTGCTGAAAGCCGCCCGAGGGACCTTGAGTATGTGAGGTTTATGATCTTCCTGTGTTTGTCAACAGAACTAGTTAATCGATTGTGGTCCACAGACTGCCAGGCAGCTTCATGGAAGGTGTTAGGCTAACTGTCGTGGTTGGGTGATTGAATTACACACACACACACACACACACACACACACACACACACACACCCCTGGGCCTTGCTGAGCAATCTTAAGGGAGAATCCACCAGACACCATTATTAGAGTTTGTGTTTATTTTTTATTCATTAGAATTTAAAGTATGGACAAATGTAGGGATTGAACTTCCTGTGAAACCGTCATTCTGCTTCAACAGTTCACCCTGGGGCCTTGTGTTCCCCACATTGTTGTCTCTTCCCCTTTGGACTGGGACGCGTATCCAGCCCAGAAAGCTGCACACACTTTGGTTCTGTGTGTTGTTTCTGTGTCTGAGCTTCCTTACCTGAATGAGCTCTGAAGATTGAGATGGTGTGGGACTTGGGACTGAATTACTTGCCAACCGTCCTGCTCTCTGTGGCTCACTCTCCACGCCATTTCCCCCATCGGGTTGCCAGAAGCGGGAATCAGAAAAAACTAAGTTTCAACATTATAACTGTGGTATGTTAGGTTTGTTCTTGTTTTTTAAGCTTAGAAGCTCCGAATGGCTCTCAGCTGCCTCTGTCCCAGCAAGCAGAAAACTCATTGTGCCCTTCGGGGCCCTGATGGGCTACACTGGGAAGTGCAGTATGGAGTGTTTTTCAGTCCTGGATCCTGAGGTTTACTAGATGGACAGGCAGAGGCACCTGTTCCTTTGTGGTGGTTTCTATATAGTTTATAGTCTGATGTGTTAGAATCTCACACGTTTTTCACTTTTTATTTAGAAAGTAGAGAACTCAGATGTCTTGTTATCTTTCTTAGGAGTCTGTGGCTTTGTTAAGTAAATTTACCTGTCCTCATGACTTTAAGGCAGAGTGCTTTGGTACCAGGAAAGATGTTTTTAGGTATTACATAGAGGGTAGGAATCCCCTGCAGGAAGGCGGTGGCTTGGTATCTTGGGATTTGGTTTCTGTATCACTGTGGTTGCTTAAGTTCCATACATTAAATGGCATCCTTCTGGATTACTTGCAAGACCTAATAGCATATACATGCTGTATACATAGTGCTATTACGCTATATTTTTAGGGACTAATGACAAGAAAAATAGTTAATCTGAATTTGGTAGATACATAATCCCTACCCTCCTCCCCTGCCATATTCCCCCTCTGAAGTTAGTAGAACCCCTGATGCAGGACTGTCTGCTAGAGAAAGCCACCTGGATGTGGCGTGGGTTCTTCCATATGTGATTGACCTGTGCTCATTGACCTGTCAGTTCATGTTAACCATGCAGGTTTTTTTTTTTAATGCTTCCTAGAGGAGAAAAACAAAAAAGCTATTTATCTGAAAAGCAAAATACATCATGGCTGTTCACTTGGCAAGCTTGGACACCAAGATAACTCCAAGCCCAGGGACCACAGTTAGCTGCCATTTGTCTGCTGGCTAGTGAACTCTAATGGTTGTTGTGAGTTAGAGAAGTCAGGGTCTGCCTTGGACATTGCCACTGAATTTGGACAGTCGTCATTTAGTGTCTGCTCACCCTCTGGGGTGAAGACCTTGGAGGGAGTGTAGTGATGATGTGTGAAGAATGGAGGTCAGCCAGGGCAAGCCCCATAGGCACAGGGGTCCAGTTTGTCGGTTGGTGCTGAAGGCAGCTGCAAGGAGCAGCCAGCGTGTGGGTAAGTGTGAAATGGCTGCCTACTTTGAAAAGCCACCTGACGTGTGTCTGGCAGGAGCCACTGAAAGAGTAGCCACCTTCCTGGCCCTGGGCACTGGAGGTGAAGCTGCAGTTGCCCAGTGGGACCGCTCAGAGCCAATCCTTCCGTGGAGGCTCTTGGGCTGGGGCTTGTGTGTGCTTGCTCTTGGTGACGTCTTACCAGTGTGTCTAACGTGCTTGTTTCTCTTTATGGCTTGGCTTCCCGTTGCATTCCTACCTGGGGTGTGACTAAACCCACCCAACTGCCCACTGCCTGCCCCACGCGCCAACACCAGTTGTGAAGCAGCGCATGCAGATGTACAACTCACAGCACCGGTCAGCCCTCAGCTGCGTCCGGACGGTGTGGAGGACCGAGGGGTTGGGGGCCTTCTACCGGAGTTACACCACGCAGCTGACCATGAACATTCCCTTCCAGTCTATCCATTTCATCACCTACGAGTTCCTGCAGGAGCAGGTCAACCCTCACCGGGGCTACAACCCGCAGTCCCACATCATCTCAGGTGGGCTGGCCGGGGCCCTGGCTGCGGCCGCCACCACCCCACTGGACGTCTGTAAAACCCTCCTCAACACCCAGGAGAACATGGCACTCTCCTTGGCCAACGTCAGCGGCCGGCTATCAGGCATGGCTAATGCCTTCCGGACGGTGTACCAGCTCAACGGCCTGGCTGGCTACTTCAAGGGCATCCAGGCCCGTGTCATCTACCAGATGCCCTCCACAGCCATCTCCTGGTCCGTCTATGAGTTCTTCAAGTACATCCTCACGAAGCACCAGCTGGACAGTCGAACTCCATTCTAAAGGGATAGGCTATGGGAAGGGATTCCAGAATCTTGGATTCTCCAAATCCTGCTGCTTCTGTTCCCGCCTCTTCAACACCCAGATTCTTTCTGCAGGCGCTCCCCATGGGCCTTCCGAGCCCTCCAACGCCTTAGAAAGCGTGGAAGACGAGGCAGCCGCTAACCGGAAGGCCGTCCACAGGGGCATCTGAGGTGGTGGCGCTGGTAGACAGGAAAGGTTGGAGAGGGGAGGGGAGTGAGGAATGGCTTTGTCTCTTCCTCCCCCAGGCCAGAAATGTAGCTTTGCTGCTTCACTGTAGCAGTCTCCTTCCTACATCCTTAGATCCCAGAGGAAGGGGAGAAAAGACACAGTGACTAAAAACCATTAAAGGAAACAAAAGTTTTTATGTATATAAAAGTTCCATTACACAGTCTAAAATAGATGGATAATGTTTATCCTTTATTTTTCTACCTAGGTGTTTTTGAATTTGTGTGTGTGTGCTTGTGAGTGACCACAGATAGTGTGACAGCTGTGGGAGAAAATAAGAGGGCTGACTTCTAACGCCGGGCTACGTGCCTGAAAGGGCACCCATGGAAGAAGTTGGTGCGTGTGGTCCCGAGTTGTGTTTGGCCCCTGCTAATGGAAATTTCACTTGAATGTAAAATAATAAGTTTGTATTTGGAGTTTTCTGTTTGTGAGGTTGAAGAAAGGTACGTTATATATATATATAAATGTTGTATGACTTGCAGCTGCAGCTGTTTCCTTTTGTCCAGTCACCTGGATGTGCTCTTCTCTTTCCTTCTAAATGCCCTGGACCAAAGAGCAGGCTCTTAGGTGTTTTCTCGTGGTGTATGCACACGTGCTAGTCCGTGGGACTGCCCAGAATGTAAAATGGTGGGCCCTGGGAGGGTGAGGGCAGCGGAGACCTCTCGCCCAGCTCACTGTGAGTTACAAGTGTCAGCTGCCCTTGGTCAGCACTGAGAAGCCTTTGATTGGGCAACATTTGACTACCCATTCAGCAGGTAATCGAGTTAAATTCCCTCTTTATTCTAGGACCTGGTCTGCATCACCCTTCTAATTCAGAGATATCAGGAAGCTTGGTCTAAGTGTGTGTATTGACACAGCAGCAGTCTACGTCTGGCATTTGGCTACCTGCTACTCTTCTCCTAGCATTCATTCCCCCAGCAGAGCCAATTCTCTGCCTAGTGACAGAGCCAGGCCCTCTAGTCAGGGCCCTGCGCTTGACCACCATCAGGATTGGATGGCTTCAATTTTCCCTTGGCACTCCTCAGCGCCTGTCTTTAAAAATCAGCACATGTGCATGGTTTGGTGGGATCGGTCCTTGTCTGTCACCACAGCAGTCATCTACCCTTGGGCTGCATCTCTCTGGGGAGGCCCTGGCCTAGGCTCTTTTGGATGGTGTGACTGCCTAGGAGGAACTGGGGCTGCCCTTGGAGAATTTCATCTCAGGATCTGTTGCCCCATGTAGTTTTTTGTTTTTGTTATCTCAACAGCTTTGGGTTTTTAGGATGAAGTAGTTGGCTTCTTTTTCCAGATCAGGGAGAGCTACATCAGGTTCCTCCTTCCTGTGCCCAGTGAACAGAACCTTCCTTGGGCAGCAAGGCTTAGCTGCTGACCCATCCTTTCTGGGGACTGAGAGCAGCCTGCTTCTGTCCCACATCTGGGTGCAGAAAGCATATGGTGCCCATGCCGCCACCGCCACTATTTACTGTGTGACTTGCCTTGGGTTAGGAGGGGAAAGCCCAATTCTAAAGTCACATTAAAATCAAATCCTAAGGTAATTATTCCTTTTTCGCCTTCGTTAAGTCCTCTTAAGGTATGCCACACTACTGAACTACTCCTGGTTTCCTATAGGATTTTGCCTCTCCTGATGGTGGGATGCCAGAGGGAGAGATAGGACTGCATTTCAGAGGTGCAAGGTCTGGGCCTGGTACTCTCATTCCAGAATGGCTCACCTGGGGGGCAGCCACCTGTCTGTCCTGCCCAGTGGTCATCAGGTTGGTGGGTAATGTATCTGTCTCAGCATGAAAAATTGTGCTGCACTTAACAGATGCAGGTATTAACTGCTGGGCTTTAATTTTCTGCTGTTGCCCTTAGCTTTGCCAGTGGTAGTGTTGCTTCTTTCAGATTGCAGACTTGTTGCTCAACAGGAAAATAATATCACCACCCATCCCCTCTATAACCCCCCACCCCCACCCCGTGACCAGCTTCATTTCAGGGCATGGACTTAATGGGTGAATGTCTTTGGAGTGACTTCTGTAGCCAGCCAGGCAATTCCACTTCAACATAAGGTCTGCATTACGTGTGTGTGTGTGTGTGTGTGTGTGTGTGTGTGTGTGTGTGTGTATGTGTGTACATTAGGTCTTTTTCCCAGACCACAATTTGAAATTCAACCACGTGCACATCAGTTTTGTTTTGGAATAAAGAATGGAACAGATTTTCAGCTTGTGACTTTTTTCTTCATTTTGTATTGAATCTAGCTATTGCTGGCCTGTGTTCTATGTGTGGTTCCTCTCTCTTCTATGACGTCTTAGTCCAATTGCAATCCTCCAGAGTCCTCCAAGGCTGTATGTCTAACACCTTGGTATGCCAGGAGGGTTTATTTGACTTTATTTAAGGTTGATTCTGCCAAATACTAATGTATTGCTGTCTTCTGCAAGATGCACAGTGTGGTAAGGAGCCGGTGTGTGATTTCTGAAATGTCTTTTATCTGCCTGTAGGAAAACTTATTTATGTGCCTCCATTGCTGCCAGCTCTCTGAAGAAGAGAGCAAAGGTATGATTATGGTGTGAGGATGTTTCTGGTTTGCTGCTACAGTTGTAACACTGGAGCTAGAGAAAATAAAGCATTGATCTTTGCAGCGTTGTCGGCTCTTCTGGTGGAGTGTGTATGCACTTTGAGTCTGAACACATGTGAGGACATGTGGTCAAAAGATGAAGGTATCCCAAAGTTCAAGTCTCTAGCAGGACAGGAGGTTGAGCTGTGGATAAGTCCTGCTTCCCAATTCCCCTCTCTTCCAGTTCCAGCTCTTTCGATGTTGCCTTTATTCTTGTAAAAGGAGGCCGTGTGGCAGGCTGTGCATGGTTCCCCAGGACGTAGGGCCTAGAGTTTCCATTCCTGTTTCCTGTCTCTGGTCTGTGCATAGGCTTAGTCAGGAACATCTTGCATTGGGGAAGGCTCTGAAGGATTAAAGTTCATGCTTCTTTAATATCATGGCTTAAGACAAAGAACATCACCTTTTCTTCACCAGACCCTATGATGAATGAGAGATAACTTTCAAGCCTTCCTGAAAATTAAAAAAAGCATATACGTGTATCTAAGAGGCAGGGTTACAGAGAGAGGATCTTCCAACTGCTGATCTTGAGCCAAGAGTCTCTTCTGGACCTGCCACTTGGGTGCCAGGACCCAAGCCCTTGATCGATCTAGTCATATTAGCAGGGAGCTGGATTGGAAATGAAGAAACTGGGACTGGAACCAGTGCTCATATGGTATGCCAGGATGGTCCAATTCTCCCACAGTTTTGAAGATGAGAATACCTGGTTCTGTCATGACCACTGAAACCCTTAGCGAGTGTGCAGAATGGAGATCAGGCCTGAGCATGACCAGAGAGGTAGGACAAGGGACTGGTTAGTATAGAGGACTGGAGATAGATAGATGCAATCGTTTGTCCTTTTAGCAGCAGTCAACCCTATGCTATCAAAAAATTCACTAATGACACATGGTTGCTTCCACCCACCTGGGGTTAATGCCAAGCACAACCTGTTCTTAGTGCATTCATTTCCATCCAACGTACACGTCCTTTCCATATCCCAGGAAATCAGTCATGCACATCCAAGGTGTTGACTAAGACCAGGACATCATACCAGTGCTGTGGGCCAGAGGGTGAAGTGCAGGATGTTATCCCTGCCCTGATGGAGGATAACACGGAGGCACAACAGACTAATAGTAATGAAATCCTGATCTCAAGATGGTAGTGAAGGCTGTTGTGGAAGCACAGACACCCAGGTTTAGGAGACAGCTGTCTTGCCCTTTTTACCACTTTCTCCCCAGCCAGTGGTGTCCTGGAGCTGGCCTTGAGCCAACTCCCTAATGCACATGGGGTGTATTTCTTCCTAACTTTGCATGTAGTAGGGTCATGTTGGTACCTTGAAATTATGGCATAAGTGAGCATATTTGCACCACAGTATTTTGCAAGAACTTTTAAATCAAGGCTTCTGCTTTACCAAGAGCTAGCTTGCCAGCACCCCACATAACATGGCATGTGGTTTATGCCAAGTGTTCAGTAAAGGTTTACTGAGACAGATGGTAGATGGAGCTGGTCCTCAACCTGGGTAGTCCTACCCCTCTTAGTTCCTGACTTGGTTCCTTAAGGCAAATGGCATCTCCTGTCAGACACTGACCACATTCATTCTCAAACTCAGGTTCTAGAGAGATCACAAAAGGAAGGTATTCCCTTTTCTCTTGATTTAAATTCTCTTTGCAGTCTGCCTTTCCATATCTGACAGTCCCAGGAGAGATCTCCACTCTTACCCATACAGCCTTAATGAAATTAGCATCTCAGAAATAGAATAGGCCCAGTATTAGATCAGAGAAAGACTGTCCCTGGGAGGGAGTAGAGGAGTTAGCATTGCTTACACAGGAATGAAGCTTTGTGTGGTGTAAGACAAAATGGAGAGGTGGCTTAAGAGTAATGAGTGCTGTGATACTCCTGTGGGGAACTGCAAATAAGGGCTTTGACTGCAGTTGTGAGAAGCTTGACCTTTAAGCAATAGGTAATAGATAGTCATTAAGGGTCTCTAAGCAGGGACACTATGATTGGAGTTCAGCTCTAGGAAAAGAAGTGGCAGAAGTGAACAGGACCAGGTGGGGAAAGCATACTTGAGGAGGCCGTGAGATAGATGGTCTGTTTGGCATCAAACGAATTGTCCAGAAGAGGGGTGGCTAACAGAAAGGTATGGGAGACTGACTCAGAGTAAATGGGACTGGATTGATGCTACTGGAATAGAGAGGTTGGCGAGGGGGGCAGGTTTTCTGTGAATGAAGATGAAAATAGACTGAGAAGGAGGGAGACCAGCTGAGATGCCTAACGGAGAAGTGGGAAGGATGCCTCATCTTTAAGCAAGTGGGGGTGGTCTGGGCCTGCTCAAAGTGGAGGGTACCCACCCCTCACTTGACTTCCATTTCCAAGCCCTCCTCCAAGTGGCCCAGCCTTGTCACCATCTTCTCTCACCTCCTGCCAGCTTCAAATTCTTTCTGGGACACCTAAGTATGATGGTTTAAAGGTTTCTGATGTGGGTGTCCTGTCTGTCCACACCACCTTCTCTAGGGGCAGATATGGGGCAGTAGCACCCCAGCTCATTGAATGCCAGACATAGGATGGTCATTGTTTCACTAGAGTTCTGATCTCAAGTTGTCCCTTGTTCTCAAAGGTCCACACTCTTGCTACTAGAGGGTTAGCATGTTTAGTAAGGAAGACAAGTGGGAGCCAGAGGAGCTGCAGTGGTCAGAGGGCATGGAAGCAGCTTTTATCTTGTCAGCAAACTTCTCTGAAAGACGGGCAGTCATGAATTCCGTGCTCTTAATGTAGAGTAAATCAACTAAAGTCATTTCAGAGATTTTCTAGATCATTTCGTCTCTTGCCTTCCTTGTGCCTATTATTTTTTTTAATTTTATTTTTTTTCAGGTTCTCTTTTAACTCCCACCTCTGATATGGGCTTGTGGGGGGGCAAAGGGCAGCCAATTCAAGATCACGAGTTTGGGGCCCGGCGCGGTGGCGCAAGTGGTTAAAGTCCTTGCACGCCCGGGATCCCATATGGGCACCGGTTCTATCCCGGCAGCCCTGCTTCCCTTCCAGCTCCCTGCCTGTGGCCCGGGAAAGCAGTCGAGGACGGCCCAAAGCTTTGGGAACCTGCACCCATGTGGGAGACCCGGAAGAGGCTCCTGGCTTCGGATGAGCATAGCATCGGCCATTGCGCTCACTTGGGGAGTGAATCATCGGATGGAAGATCTTCCTCTCTGTCTCTCCTCTCTGTATATCCGCCTTTCCAATAAAAACATTAAAAAAAAAAAAAAGATCACGAGTTTGGAAGTCACACCTCCCCAGCCTGTGTAATTTTTTTCTTTTTTTTTTTTTTTGGCCCACCCGTGTGTCCAAGGATGCGTACCCATGATCCCCTGGGACCTGAGGAGGGGGCGGTGTTGTGTAACCACGCCCCCTCTCAGGCCCCTTAAAAGCCCATGTTGGGGCGGGGCTCGCGCTCTCCGGTGCAGCCTTCGTGGGCTCTCTCTCTCAGCCTCCTTCCTGTCTCCTGGGCTTCGGCGCTTGCCTCTCCTGCCTGCTCTCTGGCTTGCCGCGGACGGACTCTGAGGAGAGAAGGTAGCGGTGTCTCTCCCTTACCCTTGGCTTCCTGGCTCGCTCGCCATGAATGTGGGCCACATAGGCCTGTTTTCCTCAACCTCTGACCCTACCACTTTCTTGCGCCGCGTCTATGCCGATACTTAAAATGTGGTGTTTTTTTTTTTTTTTGGTTTTTTTTTTTTTTTTAAAGAGGCAAGAACCCAAGAACCTAGGAAATAAATATTCGGTCCAAACCTATACCACAATACCTTTACCAACTTCATTCAGTTCCTTC